CTACCCAAGTCAGTGTCTGGTAACCCTCGCTGCTCCCGTTGTTGGATTATAAATGATTCTATTACCACTGAGCAGCGCTGACCGTACATCTCTCTGTGTACCCGGCTGTTATCGGATTGTGGATACAATCCTGCTACAATTTAACACTTACCTGCAGCAGTGAATGTGACTTTTAGCAAACATTCACTGGCGGTGAATCAATCGCTGTCAATTAAAACACTTGCACCGGGAAGATTCACCTGCAGTGAAGGTTTGGTATATGTCACATTCACTGTTTTATTAATGTGCCCCAAAGTGTATGTAAACCCAAATAATGGAATCTCATAGAAGCTTCAATATGTTAATATCATTTCAAATGTCCTTTTTATATAGTTTTATATCTGCAGATTGAATTAAAATAACACCCGATGGTCCTGCCATGAAGGTCCGTGTTCAGGCACTTCCTGTTATAGTGTGACAACTCTGTGTCCTTGTTTTCTAGTTGTGCTTCTGCGTTGTCACCCTGTCACACGGGATTCTGATAGAGACTACAAGTGGCTGTTTTAACACACTTGAGGCAGGCAAGGTCCACTGTTGTCACCATTCCTTTGCCAATGTGCAGCTGCGGGGCGGTAAATACCCTGGCCTGATTGGGCGACAGTGGAAGCCGCTTCCTGCTGAGTTCAGGGGACCTTGGCCCGAATCTGAGCTCACCCCTTGTCGCCATCCGGAAACCCAGCCTGCACCTTGGGGTGCCTTATGACCTCCTCAGGGGTGCTCAGACATTTTCAAACAGTATCATGCCCTGAAAAGTCGGGCACTCGGTCATTGACCGAGAGCCCGACAGTGTCAGGAGAGAGGAGAGGGACCCGCGGCATACCTCATCCTGCCGGGTGAACGTCCCCTCCTCTCTCTGCCGGCGTCCATCAACAAGATGGCCTCCGGCAGGCATTAATTTAGATGATTGTGCATGCGTGATGACGTCACGGTGGGGTGTCTCACGCGGTCTCCGCTCCGGGTGACACCCGGCCTCGGGACGCCCCTGATCAACAGCACCGAAATACTGATATTACAATAAAACAAGTATCTCCGTATCACAAAGCTAACACCAGCTTCCAATTTAATAACTTATATATATATATATATACACTGAGTGGCCAGATTATTATGACCACCTGGCGTTTGTAGGCATGCATCGCCTTTCTTGATCTCGTGGAGTCACGAGGCGGCCCAACCAAGTACTGATGGAGGGGTCATAATAATCCGACCACTCAGTGGATATACTTTGTAGATCTTTAGAAATTAGTTTTATGTTTGTGATACAGAGGAACTTGTTGTATTGTAATATTTTGGAGTACAGAGAGTGTTTTGGTTTTATAAACGTTGCGTGTCTTTAATTACTGCACCCGAGAAATCTCACATTACATGCTGCGCGTTCCTTATTACACCCGGGGTTCATGTGTGGCAATGTCCGTCATTTCTTCCTGAGCTCCATCTAACGCTCATTGTCATCAAATTTAATGTCTCCATATAAATAGACTTCCGATAGCAGCCGTGCGCCAATGTTACGCGTGTGTGTCATGTGTGTGTATGTTTGTGTGCCTCTATGTGTCTCTGTGTGTTGTGCTTCACCTTCCAGTTGGCACGCTTCCATGTTCTTGGAACAAACGTTGATACGTCTTTAACTGTGACATGTGAAGTCAACATCTGAGCGCCTGTTATCGCATTGTTGGCTTTGATGTCGGTATGGACCTTGTCCTCAGCAGGAAGCAGAAAGTGTTCCTCTTACTCTCTCCATAGATTTCATTTCAGTGCTGAGCTGAACCCCCAAAATTAAGGGGAGCGGTGGATTGTTGGGAGATTTACCCATTTGCTGGCAATCACCTCATCCTGCTTCTAGACTCATCCACCTAACCAACCGCTTAGGTTCTGTACCCCCCTCTGCCAAACCCTCCACTGGCTTCCATCCCCCACCACTGTGTGAGACCTGGAGCTTCCTGTAATAAATACCGGTCACTGCTGCTCTCTCGTTGTGCAGGGTGACTGGTCTTGTCTCCGCCCCCTCCTGTAATAAATACCGCTCACTGCGGCTCTCTCTTCTTGTGCAGGGTGACTGGTCTTTTCTTCGCCCCCTCCTGTAATAAATACCGCTCACTGCGGCTCTCTCTCCTTGTGCAGGGTGACTGGTCTTGTCTCCGCCCCCTCCTGTAATAAAGACAGCTCACTGCGGCTCTCTCTCCTTGTGCAGGGTGACTGGTCTTGTCTCCGCCCCCTCCTGTAATAAAGACCGCTCACTGCTGCTCTGTGATCTCTGTGGAAGGTAATAATTTCATGGAAGTGTCGCTCTGACACATTATCCAGCATTGTATACAGTACATGAAAGTATAAAAAAATATATTTAATGCTAGGTGCCTCAGATCAGCGAGAGGACCATAGCAGTTGTAACATTGAGGTGGTACAAGTGAGGATAGGGGCTCAGCTGACACCTCCGTGGCGGTGGGGGATGGGGAGATGAAATGCTGTTATTTTGGTACACGCCTCTAGTATGGAATTGTCCATTTTCAGGAGGATGTGAAATTCTTTGTAAATTGCAAAGCTGACAACACATGTCCCGTATCGCACCTCGGGCCATTTATCTGGAAGAGACAATTCGCTGGTGTCACATTTTCTGCCGGCGCTGACAACGCGCAATGTTTCCATCTATTTCCGGAATGCTCCGGGTTATGGTGGAAAAATAACGGCCAAACTTCAAAGAACAAAACAAATCCGAAATGTTATACAGAGACTATATATTGTAGGACAAAGTTAGGTCTTGGTAACACCACGGTGTGCCGGGGTAGAGATGCTAAACCGGCATTATATGTGGAAGGCGGATGGTGTAGAAGGCCCTCTGCCCTCTTCAGGGATGGTGGTTCCAGTTTGATGGCCTCTTTCTCACCTCTTGCAAACCAGTTGTCTTCTCTGCCCAGAATGTGCACCTCACCCTCCTGGAAGGATTGCCCCTTTACCTTTAGGGAGGAGTCCTGACCTGTAGAATGGCCCCCCCTTAAGCTGGGCCAGTCATGTTGAGAAGTTGTTTGGTCTCCCCAGTGTCCAGGTCTTTACATTGCTCATACACTGCACTGCATAGCTCAAGCTCCATTGCTTGTGTTTGGATGTCGGGTCTTTTGGATGTACAAGTTTCTGTCTCAGTGTATTGCTGGGCTTGAAGGACAGAGGGACGCCATGTTTGTTTAAGATCCTTCTGAGTTCTTTTGACAATCCGGCCTCTTTAGTGCAAAAGGCATCAAAGAGACCATCTACGTCAAAACTGGAAGAACCATCCTTGAAGAGGGCCGGGGCCTTCAACAACATCCCTCTCCCACATAGTTTTAACACGTCTACCCCGGTGATTATACAACAATTCACACCTTTAGTCATGTGAATCAAATGATTAATGTGTAAACTAGAACAGGTTGGAGAAAGCAGTATCTTCACTGCACTCATTAAAGGAACTGAAGAAGTGACTTAGGAGAAGCTACAAAACATCTTCAACATTCCAGAACAAGTCCAGTTAAT